AAGTTAGGGCTGTACAACAGAGAGATCTGAACAGGGTGTTTTATATTGATAAGTTATAGGAAATACATTAGTGTTTGCATTGAACCTATGACCACAATAAAAATATTTTAATGAGCCTGTCCCCATGCTACACTTCGGCCTGAGCAGCCTATCACCAGTCTTGACCAGTTAGGTGGGCTTACCTAAGCCTATGCAAATACCAACCATTAGAAAGTCAATATTTTAAATAGTAAATTATTTAACTCTGCATTTCAGTGCTGATACCCACTGTCACTCTGAACACGGATGCTCCCTGCTTCATGCAGCGACTTCTGTTTTTTGAGGCACGATATATGGCAAGCAGCGGTCTATGATTTGAAAAGTACTGCTGTATGCACACGAAAGTGAGTTGAAGAGAAAATCTTGTGGGCTCCAACAACAACGACAGATCATTGGAATATTTGCTGATAATGTGACATACAGCTGCCTGAATCTCAAAGTGGCAGTTCAGTTAAACATAAATGTCAGCAAAGCAGCATACTGTAAAATGTTTTACAGACTTAACTGCTGAGGATTTTTTTCATTTATTTATGCTTTTTGGGTTGCTGAAAATAGAAGAATAGTGCAGCACAATTTAAAAGAAAGTATAAATTTTTCCTTCCTAAGAAAGGATAGTTGGTAACCCTCTACTAAACCCAGAGTGAAGAATTGTACATCGTACAGAAATATAATTTGGATTTTGAAGAACCATAACATTGAACATATTACTCTGACCTTTCACACAGAAAATAAGTAGTGTGTGAAAGAGAAGAGATAGGTATCATTATAAACTCAGCATGTGGAAGGATGAAATCTCATTGCACTGTGAAAAATACATTTTTAGACATTTAACGATATCAGAAAAACTAAAACTGTACCCCATGATCCTGTCATGAGGTTACTCAAATAGGTTGTTTGTTCCAGAGGACAATATGGCTGTGTGAGTGAGACACATGATTTTCACATTTATTAAAAATTTAAAGAAATACAGTTCTGCTTAAAAAAAAAAGGAAGAAAATTGCCTTTCGACAGAAGAAAGGGAGTTATTTTAAAAGATCTTACAATTGCTCTGTGTTTTTATTATAATGAATAGCTAGTTAATTTTTTTGGATGATCCGCTAATGTCACTGTCTAATAAGTGAGAAGGAATCTCCCAGTATGGACATAAAGAGCAATGAAAAACAGAGAAGACTAGCCATACAATTTTAAGATTTTTCTCGTTCAACTCTGCGGAACAAGAAAAAAAAAGTAGAAAAATCACTTGTTTCCCCATCCATGCTAAACAGAATCTCCCCTGTATGTCTTTCAGAATACCTGAACAATGACTGCAGCTGACTGACTGTAGCCTCTATTCAACCCACATTTTCTTGCCTAACAACTTCAGTTTTCAGATCCAAATTTGTCGCGCCAGGTGGTGGGCCATTCATGTATAGAATTGTGCCTGATTCAGCAGGTAACGGGCAAAATTCGATTTGTGTTTGGCCATCTTAACTCTTCATTAACCCCTTGTGAAATGGCCTGTCCGCTGGCGCATTGTTCTGGGAGGATGTACTTGTACGTCCTCCCATGAACGCATGTGTACATGCGGCCGCTGCTCCCACTGTCAGACAGTGGAGAACAGTGGCTTTAGACACAGAGCCGATTAGACTGGCTCTGTGATCGCTGTGATTGGTTATCACAAGCCCTCCCATTCCTCTTATGTCAGAGGCAGGGGAGAGTAAAGGAAATAATGAATGGAAGAGTCATCAATTCCTTGCTTCCTAGAGTAAAAACAAGCTGCGGCAGCAAAACAAGAAAATAAAATAAAATGTTTAACTCCTTCACCCTCCCTCCTCTCCTATATATTTTAGTCTCATACTATCTCTACTCACATGTGTATTAACCCCTTCATATCTTTTATCCCTTAGCTTTTATGTACTTTAACCCCTTCATCTCCATTCTCCCTATATGTGACCTGCACATCAACCACTTCACCCCTTCCTTCCTCTGTCTATGACCTGTACTTTTTTTTTAACCTTGTGCACTATTACCATGTTTTAACCCCTTCAATACCAGCATTTTCCCACAACTCCCAAACCAAACTCTGGGTGGACCTGGAACAATCATTTGCATATGTCCCTTTAACCAATCTCCCTTGGTGTACCACTTCTTTACCTCCACAATTACAATTCCACCCCACCATTGGCCCCACGGTCATGATTGCACGGTTCATTTTTAAGGGAGGTAGGATCTCTCCCTTTCCTTCACCTCTCACTCCCATTTTAGACAATCTGGCATTCCCACCGGGAATAGGTGCCCACACGTACCCGGCGCTACGGAAACTTGGTAAAGATAAGGCCAAACACTTCCTGACTGACATGACTAGACCCTCAACCAACACTCTCTGCACTAACCCGGATTATGGCCCTCTTGATTTTTGGTCAGCAGTGCAATTGTCCCATTTCCTGCACACGAACCCCGCAACGCGACACCCCTGTAGAGCCCTTACACCATTTGAGCAACTTTGCTCGCAAGATAAGCCTTCCCGACACACTCTTTCCCTCTGCTACAGATTGTTGATCCAATCACCGGACCCAGACCACTTGTGGTTTATATCACGATGGGAGGGAGAACTACAGACCAGCTTTACCCCGGAAGCTACGGAGAAGTTACTCACACTCTCGTACCGTTCTTCGATTAGTAATAGATACCAAGAGTCACTCTATAAGATCGTAACTAGATGGTACTGTACTCCACAGTCCGACGGTTTTGGGAACAAGTGCGCGCTCTCGCTCAGAAATTTACGGACGTCCCAGGTGCCTGAAGACCCGACCTTCTTTCTCCTCCATCATAACACCATGCCGCTGCACTCCTATACCCACTCCTTGATCAGACACGTGGTAAATGCCGCCCGGGCATGTATTCCTGCACTGTGGAAGAAACCCGAAGCCCCCCTCATAAGTCAAGTCCTAGACCGTATCCATGATATATACATCATGGAAGATCTCACGAACTCCATTAAACATACCTCTGCCTCGGTCGCTCAAACCTGGTTCCCCTGGTTGGAATACATTCGGTCCCCTGACTACCCTACCCTTAGATAGGAGAACGCTGACCTGCTCCTGAAGGGGAAACATTTCCCATCTACTCCATGACCCTCCTGTTTCCCCACCCTTTTTAGGTATATGCCCTACTACCATCTCTCTCTCTCTTTAGTGACCTAGTATTTTTTTTTTTTTTTTCCTTCTCTTTCATTTTCCGTCACTTAACCCCTTACCCACACAACCTACTCACATTCACTTGCCTAACACTGTGTTTTTTTTTTTCTTCTATTGTTCTGGTTTGTTTTGTTGTGCACACTAAAGTTTTAAAAATGACATCTCTTATGCATGCTATTGACAGGATGTCGTTTCACTTAGGGATAGACCCACACACCTCCCTCGGATCCACAGAAGCGCTCATAAGCACTTGGACACTTATATGTCCCCCTCTTGAGATACTTACGGGCCAATGACTAGCAGAGCAGGGGGAACACCCTCCCCTTATTTTTTTCAACGTTTTTAAATATTTTATTTTGTTTACTTTGTCCTATACATCGCAATGCATTTGGTGTATTTTCTTGATGACCGCCCGAGAGAGCAACTATTTGCTACTTATGCACTTGTTTTTCTCTTCTTGTGATCACCGTCAAAGCTTTTAAAATATAAAATAAAGTGATTTTTTAAAAAAAAGTAATTTAAACAGTTTTTTTTAAATTTTTTTGGTTTTTTTTTTTTTTTTTTTTTTTTTTTTTACTTTATAATATTAAATATAAAAAAAAGACTGTTAAATACCACTAAAAGCAAGCTCTTTGTCTCCCCAAAAAGATATCAAATAAAATTTTGTTAGTGTTGTTTGACACAGGAATTCTTACCCAAACTTGCACAGTGCTGAAAACTGAAAAATGACCTGGTAATAAAAGGGGTGTAGCATGCAGGTAATGAAGTGATTAATCTATTCAAAAAAAGTTGGGTTTCAAAAGAAAAAAACATTTGTGAATGTATTTGTTTGTCCTGATTGTCATAAAAAGTAAGGTTCAAAATCCCTACACATTCCCTTTTTTAAAGTGCACTTTTTGTAAAATCATTCTCGACAAACTAACTGTATGTGCTCAACAAGTATGTCATGACCTCCTTCCTGTGTTTTATTTTTTTTTTACTTGTACAAATGCTGGACTGCTGGTAAAAATGTTTTACAAAAAGGATTTCCACACCTGCCTCATAAATAGGATTGTGCAGGGGTTGTAAGTTTAGAGTCCATCAGTGTCCTGTTATTCATTGCTTAAGCCCTGATGAAGGGGGTTCCTGACCTTTGAAACACGTTTGATGTGGAGATTTTTTTGTCATTTGTGAAGCCAATAAAGTTTTTTTGGACTCTTGAGACAATTGCCTTCTACAGTTTAATAGACTTCATATACATGGATTTCTCATTCTGGGTGTCCTCTTCCCGTGGAGGTCCCTTTTTTCTGTGAAGAGTTGCCAAAACTGAGCCATCAGGCCCAAATATTTAATCTATTTGAGAAAGTTTGTGGTCCAGAGCATCATTCCCAATACCATTGCATTCATTCACCCATAATAGTAAGAACAGTATTTTAAATGTTGAACTTTATCAAGGATGCACACTACACTAGACTATAAGTGGAAGCTGAACTCTTGCTCCTCACTCTACTAAATACTGTAAAAAACAGCAGGACAGCAATTGCAGGTGGGTAGCCTTCCATTTCCTTCCCTTACCATTTTGTAATTGGCTGTTCAAGTTGCCTGTTAGCATGCAGTAACAAGCAAGGAGGAAATGATAAACCACTGTAACAGATGAATCTGATTGGGTGACCTTTACTTGTTTTGAATACCATCAACTGAAATCAAAAGAAGCTTTTATGTGGATGTAAAACCGCTTCTAGTGTATATTTGATTTTTCTGCTGTAGTTTTAGTATTTCTTCAGTCTACTACTTTGCTTCACTTAGGTGGTCGCCTTCATGAACTCCCCCGTTGGACAGTACTTGGATGAGCACCCATTTGTGTCCCTCTCGCTTCTGGTCTTTATATCGTTGTCCGCAGTTCCATTAGGCCTGTTTCTGACTGTGATCGTTGGTACAGCAGTAATTGCATGCCTTGGGGTCATAATACTTGAAGGTAATTGCCAGCTTTATGCTTTAAAACAGACAAAATATTATATGCAATGCTACTAACTATATGTAACGAGTACCTGGCATCCGGAAATGAGAAATAACATAGCACAGATGGGCATCATTTAGACCTAGTGAATATTGATCCCTACAAAGAGCATTTGACTGTAGACCAGTAAAGTAGCCTTATACTGAAATGTTAATTTAAAAGTGACCCTATACGTAGCACAACTGTACCTTAACCCTTGCGCTGCCAATGCTTTTTTTGTGTGGTTTTTGCACACATGTGTTTATACACATTTTAGGCCTAAAAATTACTTTAAATGCCCAAACATATATTTTCTGAAAATAAAGACCCTGTAGAATACAATGGTTGCAATTTTTACATCGCACAATATTAGCGCCAACTCTTTATCAAACCCAAAATTTTTGTTAAAAATGCACTTCCCCAAAACACAATATATAATACACATTTTTTCTAAGACATAAAAGATGAAGTTACGATGAGTAAAGAAATATCTAACATGCCCAGGTTAAAAATTGTGTATGTCCGTTAAACGGCGACAAAATACGGTACCCTAAATTGTCCATAGGCGACGCTTTAAAAACCCATACATATCATCAAGTTAGAGATATCAGTGGATATTGGCACTAAAATTATTGCTCTCCCTGGCACACGTGGCAATACCCAACATGTGGCGCAATCGTTTTGTTCGTACCTAGGTTCGCCCAACGCTAATACGTTGGACGGAGGACTTTTAAAAACATTTTTTTCATTATTTTTACATTTACTTTATTTTTTTTAAACCTTTTTTTTCCTTCTTTTTTTTTGTACTTTACTTAATTGCTATCACATAGGGGAGCTTACCCGTATGTGATGGCTTATTAGCAGTGATCTCTTTAAGGTGATATTAGGGGTCAATCAGACCCCTAATGTCACATTTTCACTCCAAATAAGCTATTGTAGTGTAGATTGTGCTCCAATAGCGTATTGCCTGGCTTCTGCAGCTGGGCAACGATAGCTGATGGGCTGGAAGTGATGCAACCAGCTTCGATTCCAGTCCCATTCAGCGGGGAGATCAGTGAATGGATGTTCGTCTGTCTCCTTCCCCGCTTCCCGCTGACACCCGGCATGCCGGTCCTGGGTCTGCTGGAGGGACAGTGGAGCCTGGGAAGCAAGGCGGGGTTGTCGGGTGGGGGAGGGGGCATGCCCTGCACCGATCCCAGGAAGTGCTTTAAGTCACATTTGAGAAAACCCACACTAAGTTTTTTATGGATTACTTTTCACACAGCATGCCTAAAATAAGGAAAAACTATTTTTTTAAATATGTATATTTCTTTCTTTTAGGTGTGTCTGTGTAGCAGACCATTGCAAACTTCTCTCTCAATATCAAATGACAGAAAACTGTCTGTCCTCATATAAAAAAAATAAGGACACTCTGAGCTTCCTCTTGTTCTTCTTTTTTTTTTTTGTTTCAAATTCTCTTTCTTTTCACAAGATAACAGAAAAAGCAAGTGTACAGCACAAAAGAACAAAGTTTACGATCACCACATAAACAAACAAACAAACAGATGAGGAGATAGCCCTAGCCAACAAAAATCCCCAAGCTAGGGTTCATCCGGAATCCCCTCTCTGCACCCGCTTCCTTGCATACTCAGCGACGAACTGCAAGGTCAGGTATGGGCCAAGGAAAAGAGAAGAGTAGTACAGATGTATAAAGGAAAAAGAGAGGAAGAGAAAAAAAAAACACAACCCCACCTTCACCCTCCCTCCCACAAGAGATTGGGCACTGATGTATAAAAATGTGTGAATGCTTTAAGTCTGTTTTTAAAGTAGAGCTGCAGAAATGAGAACCCAATCTATATCGCAGACTCCTACCAAACCACACCCTAAGGCCTTGTTCACACCAAATGCAGACCAGATCTGCACGAGTTTCTGCTAATGCAGTGCAGTGTGTTGTGCCATGTTTTTGATGCGTGTTGTGCAGTGTGTTCCGTGTTTTTTTGTTTAGTTTAAAATGGGCTTTCAGTGCGTTCCAGGGTGTTTGCATGTGTTTTTGATGCGTTTGCATGCGTTCCAGAGCAGGTAAAATAGGGCTTGCTGCAGTTTTTTTTACCTGCTCTGGACCTGCACGCTGCGGTGTGAACTAGAGTACAAAATACCATTGGAATAAATTGGACGCAGTTTTGATCAGGTCTGCTCTGCACCTGGAACGCGCTTGGTGTGAACAAGGCCGTATACAGGGTCATTGTTCACCCTTTCCCCCTACTGGATGCTAGTTCGTTAGCTGCAGCGAAAAGGGTCGGGGCAGCACCACAATGAAAACCCTGTAAATCTTAGGCAATCGGGAAGAACCTGTTTTAAAATGCTCCCAACAGCTCCGTGTGCGTTAGAACGCAGTCGGTCTATATTGCTTGGACAATATTATCTCTTCCATTTCCTGCATATGATTCACCTGTGCAATCCATTCTCTAACTGTTGGTTGATCAGGCAAATGTCAGTGTGGAGGAATCACCGTCTCAGCCGCATTTATCAGGTGATTTTGTAAAGAATGCTCGTAGACACCCACAGAACCTGCATGGGCATGTAACAGAAACACCTCTGGTGTATAAGCTTAGTCACTTCCAGTGATTCTCAAGACCAGGCTGTTGCCTTTCAAAATGGTTGTATTCAGGGACATGACACATACAATGTTTCTAAATCTTTAACCCTTTGTTAGGACATACTGTGTTCAAATCTAGTTTACAAATGATAACGAGATTTGCCAGCACCGTACAGACCAAGTTAATTATGCTATCATTAACCTGCCCTGCCACCCTGAATGCAGCCTGCTTTGTGAAATACTTAGCTTCCTCCCTGTTTTAGCAATAGTCATTGTTAGGCTGTGCCACGCCAGACAAGACCTTTGTTTGGATAATGTCTCCGCTGTTTTTTGCTTGATGGCTAGATGGTGCTATCAGTATGACTCGCCCATAGGAGCAGGGACATGTTTTGAGCAAAGGCCACACACTGAATATTGCTGGAATTGGGCAGAAGGAAAATACTTTATGTGGCAGGTTGCAATCGGGGTGGGGGCATTAAATAAATAAATATCTGTACTAAAGGTGTGGTTGTCCATTAAATGTTACATATTGCTGTATTAACAGTCTTGCTGGGTCGAATAATTAAATTCTATATTTAAAAGATTTTAGCAGGAAGATCGCTGCACATGTTCTCAGGTCACACCACTTCTCTACTAAGGCCTACTCATAACTGAAATATAATATTTGTTTAGATGGGAGGACCAAGAAAACAGTATTTCCTCAGTTAAGGTTCTGATCCACACATTCAAGTCAAAAAGTTTTAAAGCTATTTCAAATGCTGAGTAAATCACTTACAAAGGATGTGAGTCCTTGATGTTTAAAATTTTAGTCTTCTGCAGAATCAGCTGGTACCCTGAGCACTGGCTCTGATATCCTGTTTTCCCTTGCAGGATCCTATGAAGCCACCCATGGGTGTGCTAGTAAACTGTGTGTGTGTGTGTGTCCACAAACACACAAGCAAAACAAATGGCAAACACACTCACCAATTCATAATCTTTAAAGTAAGGTGCACATGGAAGGGCTTTACACAATACACATGCTTAAAGGCACGGGGACACACCAGAAGCCTCAGACATCACAACGGCAGCTAACATCAGCGTGCATTAAGGTGGAATGGGCTACCTCCTGGTGACCCAAGATGGAGGCTCTCACAGATTAGAGTTAGGACCACAATACACAGATGGGCCTTGACAAAGCAGTGTGGCTTCCAAAAAATGAACCCTAAAAGTTAGACCTGTGTAATTTGTTTTTTGCAGGCTAGTTGGCAAGTGTGCTGAGAAACGTTTTCCTTTTGCAAAAACACACAGGCACAGCAAGGCACTCCCTCCTGCTCCCAGATCTTCCTTTCTTCCTTTTTCAAGCTAGTAGATGGACAGCTGCTGGAGACTGTACTGTTCCTCATGAACTTGTACTCAACAGGACGTTCAGGAAAGCTGAGCTGAGAGCGTTGGATCCAGCTGTTTGGAAACATAATGACTGTGGTTTTGGGCAAAGCATTTGGGCAAGTGTTTGCTGGACAAAGTATATTCATTTGATCTGGATTCATTATTGAAAAGATGTTTGAGCATTTAATACTACTGTAGCACTCCCCCTTCCCCAGTCAGTGCTATCTTAATATAGGATAACACTACAGGTGGCTCTGAAGGGGTGATCTACAATAAACTGGACTAACGAGTCTCCCTGTCTTTCCTCTATAAGAAACCTCTACTATGGATCCACAGCACACCAGCACACCTTGAGTTGGTTTAAGAAGTTTTACTGGACATAGAATGTCAGATATCCGCACCAACAGACAAGCAATGCAGTACTTCATAAAACAAGATACTGCAAACAATAGGTTTCTATCAGCTGTGCAGATGACTGTGCACCAGTAATGAATGTACTGGCAACAGGCTCCTTACACAGAATAAGTGGTAATACTGAACTTTGTCTCAGTCCCCATGTCCCCGGGTACCTAACCAACTGGCCAGTGGTCTTATCTTTGGCTAGCCAATGGTGGGGCCCAATGTAAGTAATGTGGAAGTCCGTGTTAAGTGCAATCAATAAGCGCAGGCCCAAGGCCTCTCGCCTAACAAGGAGGGAGTCTCACATCCAGGGGCTTCCATACTGCAAGAAGATGTCCACCAGGAGAAGATCAACCCATGATGCAGAGACAGGTCAGCAGGTCCTGCTGGTAGAAGAAATCCCGCTCATCCAATATGGTGTCTGCTCGTTTCGGCCCGTCTCCCGTTCACAGTGACGACACAGCGGTCTCAGACGTCCCTCTGGTTTGTCCACTTGATCACCTCATCCGGTATCACAGTCTGCTTTCTCTCTTCCTCTCTGCCACGGGCAGGGTAGGTAGGGACTCTGGATACAGGTACAGCAACCCTCTGGTGCGCAGCAGCCACCTACACGGCCTGCTCTCTCGACCTCCACTCAGGGAATGCCGCCAGATGGCCCTCCGCAACCAGGGTGCCTTTCCCACTGCCCCAACAGTATTCTGAGATATGTACTCCTGCACAGGCAGTCCTGATTATCTCCTCCTGGGTGAAGAACTCATGTCCCATCAGTCTCTGGTTCCCTCAGACCCCGGTCAGTTGCAACATCAAGGTTTCCTTTCCTTGTTTATATACAGTGTATAGTTTCTTAGTAATGTAATTTGCAATTCAAAGATTTATTGTTCCTATTTCCTGGACATAACATGTGTAACAGATGTTCTATGCTATAATATGATTCTCGAAATATATGGATATATATTTATTTAATTTCACTAATTAAACATTGCTCCATATGTTTCCTAAGGCTATTCTATGCCATTCTCAGTTTGTCACCACTGATCCACAGTAGATCTAGCTTGTAATAATTGAATGCACAAGGATTAAATATTCTGCTGTCATACTTGGAAGACACATTTGTCTTTTCTGTAAACCAATTTGCTTTATTGCTTTACTAGCAAACAAGTGTTTGAGTGGGGTGTAACTCCCCACTAAGGAATTCCTACTGATAAGAAAAAACTGCTGTAGGATCCAGCAAACCACTGCTGAGTGCCTATGCCACCAAGTCCAGACTTTATATTCAGCATAGGTAAGAAGCTCTCTTTCCTGACACCCTGTAACTAGTATCCCCTGCACAATGATTCCAGCTGCAACCGTTTCTTCCCTTGTAGCCCTTACAGTCCTCTATTCCCCTGATGATGGGGGATAAGGGGGAAACTGGCAGTACATAGTTGAGCAAGGTGCTTCTAAAGGAAGGATCTTCATGGAAGTGGGTTATCCTTTATTATATGCATGTATGTGTAGCACTCACACCCGAAAGAGTCACTGAATATGAACTAGGCCTCTCCTACCTGTTTTGCCAGCCACCGTCCCTTTTTTTTCAGCTCCAGCAACACCGATACTCAAGAACAGAACAGGCTCAAGTCGTAGGGTCTTTTTTAGCATTTATTGCACAGTTTTTTAGGTTGTTAGCCATCATGGGCATCTTGTCCTTCAATTGCATTGTAATGTCTTCCTTATATTGTAAAGTGCTGCGCAAACTGTTGGCGCTAAATAAATCCTGTATGATAATAATAATTGTTATTATTACAGCTCTATAAATATACAGATTTATCTAAGCAGTAATGCCTACACACAGTATATCTAAACAAATGGTCCTGATTTGATTCATTGCTCAAGTGTATGCAAACCAGGTCAAGAACAATGGAATTCATCCCAATTCTACACAGTATGTTCAGGGAATTATCTTGAGAGCTGAAAGCAAGTAAGTGCACTCACTGGATCGACAGCCTGATTGCTTTTGGTCAACTAAACGGTACAAGATATTCAATCCCCATTGTCCTTAACATAGGGAAATGCATTCAGTTTAAGATGTTTCGTTTTTGCTTTTACTCAACTCAATCACTTTATATTTGTTTCCCATATTTTTTAAGGTAGCCAATTATCGAGTATTGATTTTTCTCAAGTTCTTTAAGGTATATTATTACGTATAATAATATAATTATTATGCATAAGGTGTGAGCAAAGATTGCGTACAGTTTTTATTGTTATTCAGCAGTTATTTTCTAAGAATTTTCTATTCATCTGCTGTAATACATGTTCAAGGTGGCCATACACCTTACAATTATCTAGAGATTTTTGCAATCACATTTTTTGTTATTGTACAACTGGCAGACTTTTGTCTTTCAAGCAGGCTAGTCATTTTTTGTCTAGTTGGATGAAAATTGACAGGTTAGTGGTGTTGTTGTACAGCAAAAATCTCAAGATGAAAATCTGTCCTTTCAATCCAATGAAAATCAGCAAGTTAGTGGTGCTGATGAGCCTTAATTGTGAACTACATTGGTCTGTGCATGATGGGCTAGTTGAACGAAAATTGAACAAGGGTGAGATGTAAGGACAAAAAAATGTTGTACAATGGTTGTAAGGTGTGTTGTTTAAATTATTTACAAATATCTGAAAAGTCTTAACTTTGTAATATTTTTACCCCTTAGATTTACCAGATTCTTATGATTTATGATAGGATAAGTAACCATCACAAAAAAATATATTAAATCCTGTTAGGAATTTACCAAAAGGCATATTGGAAATAAAGTTTGACAAATCTGATCAGACTAAAATTAAACTTTTTATTGCGTTACTTTGTCAATGGTAGATGTAATCAGATCACCACATTTATGGTCAGCTTTAAAATGGCCCAGTCAAGGCCTGGACCTAAATCCAATGAAAGAGCTGTGGCAAGACTTAAAAAAAAAACTATGTCTGCCAATGTTCCTCATCTATTCTGACAGGGCTGAAAAAAATAGTCCCAAAAAATAGAAAAAAAGTTAGTAGAAATTTGCCCTATAAGATGTGCAGATGTATTTTGTAGCCTTGGGTGGTTCTACTGAACATTGGCTTGGAAGGTGAATAGTATGCAGCCAATAACTGCATGTTGTGTGAATGTGTTGTGTGAATTAAATAGTAAAATTCCAATTAAATCCATTTTAATTATAGGTTGTAG